ATTTATTTATTTTGTGTGTGTGTGTGGCCAGCTCAGCCCACCAGGGGGCGGGACTGGCTGGCATGTGGTGCTGGGGGATTGAACCGCGGTCCCTGTGTTTTGCTTAGTTTAGCTTTTTCTAAGTAGGTGCTTTAGACCACTGAGCCATCTCACCAGCCCTCCTTCCTAGAATTCTTAATTAAATTTTTTATAATCACTCTGCACCCATTTATTTTCTGGGTTTTTGCTTTATATTTTGGCTAGAACCTTTGTTATGGTATTGAATGGTAGTGTTGTAGGGGTGAATATTGTTCTTTCATTCTTGCCATTGGGGTTGAGGTTGTAGGTCAGGGCCAGAGCACTCACTTAGCATGCACAAAGTCTGGGTTCAGTCTTCATCATTGTGGTAAAAAAGTTCACCATTAAGTCAGTCAGCATCAGTTGGGGAGATAGCTCAGTAGAGTAAGTGCTTGCCTGACAAGCACAGGGTTCTGAGTTCAATCCTTGGTACTGCAAAAAAAAAAAAAAAAAAAAAAAGTCAGCAGTAGATTTTTTTCCTTGATGATCTGATTAAACTGAGGAATTTGTGTTTCTAATTTACTGAGATTATTACTTTTTTTAAAAAGGTAATTATTATTTTTGTCTCTCTTGAGACAAGGTTTCACTGTGAAGTTGTAGTCTTTTTTTTTTTTTTTTTTTTTTTGCGGAACTAGGGATTAAACTCAGGCCCTTGCGCCTGCCAGGCAAGCACTTATTTTGCTGAGCTATCTCCCCAGCCCCTTTCACTGTAAAGTTCTGGCTGGGCTTGAGCTCACTTTGTAGTTCTGACTGGCCATGAACTCACAGAAATCCTCCTGCCTCAGTATCCCGAGTGCTGGGATTATAGGTGTGTATCACCACTCCTGGCCTTAAAAATTATTATTTTTTGAAACAGGGTCTCTATAGTTAAAGCTGGTCTTGCACTCACAATGTTTTCCAGACAGGTCTTGTACTGTGGTCATCCTCCTGCCTTGGCCTCCCGAGTTCTGGGATTCCAGGCTGGCTGGCTGGCTGGCTGGCTGGCTTTATTTATTTATTTATTTATTTATTTATTTATTTAGCAGAACCAGGGATTGAACTCAGGCCCTTGCGCTTGCCAGGGAAGTGCTTATTCTACTGAGCTGTCTCCCCGGCCCCTTGCTGTTTTTAAATCATTGCATATTTAAGGACTTTTTCTGCATCTGTTGAGATGTTCTTAAGATTTTTCTTTGTTAATGTCATGAACTACATTGACTTGTTGCTATCACATTTCAAGTTTTAGTTTTTTCAAATGTTGAACCATCAGGTTTCATGGAGTAATGAACCACTTGCTCACATGTAATCCTTTTTAAGTGTAGCTGGGCTCAAATTGATACTATTTTGCATGTAGTCATGAAGGAAATTGACCTATAATTTTTTGTTATTATGCTTTGGGTGTAGAGTTAAGTTAGCATCATATGTGAATTGAGAAGTATTCTCTCTTCTGTCTTGAAATAATTTTTGCAAGCTTGCTGTTACCTTTTTGAATAGTGTTTATCAGTGAAATCTAGCTCAGGAGTTTTCTTTGGGAATTGAATTTCTTTTAACAATTATGTAGGATCATTCACATTTTATTTTTGAGTTTAGAACTCTTAAAATATGATGAGTTAGGGGCTGGTGAGATGGCTCAGTGGTCTAAAGCGCCTACTTAGAACAAGCTTAGCAAAGCACAGGGACCGCAGTTCAGTCCCCCAGCACCACATGCCAGCCAGCCCGCCCCCTGGTGGGCTGAACTGGCCACACACACACACACACACACACAAATAAATAAATAATTT